AAGTGATAACCAATTAAGTTTAGTGAACATCCATCACCTCATGCAGCTACAAAACCAAAAAAAATTGATGAGGACTCTTAAGATTCACTCTTTTTTTCTTTTAAGATTCACTCTTTTAGCAACTTTCATATATAACATACAGCAGTTAATTAAATTCTATCAATACATTATATCCCTGGTGCTTATTAATCTTATAATTGGAAGTTTGTTCGTTTTGACCAACTTTGTCTTATTTTCTCTTTACACTATAGCAACCACAAATGACTTAAATGTAGTGTTTTTGAGTGCATATATTTGCATAGTTATTGTTGTGGCTGTATTACATTATATATGCATAACATCATATATACGTGTTAGTCTCTCATAGCTCAGTTGGTTAAGAATCCACCTGCAATGAATCTGCCCGCACTGCGGGAGACCTGGGTTTGATCCCTGAGTTGGGAAGATCCCCTGGAGAAGGGAAAGGCTACCCACTCCAGTATTCTGGCCTGGAGAATTGCATGGACTGTATAGTCTATGGGGTTGCAAAGAGTCGGACACAATTGAGCGGCTTTCACTTCATTTCACTTCACTGTTGATGTTACCATTTTATCAGTTCAAGTATGTAAACCTTACCTTTTTTCATGTATCTTTACCCTCACCCTATTTATAATTGTCTTAAATATTTACTTTAATATTTCCAATGACATTAGTCTTATAAATTTTTCTTCAACCTGAAAATATAATTTTGAAAACTCAAGGAGAGGGAAAACCTGTGTGTCTGCCTATATTTTTGTTTACTTTGTTCTTTCTCCCTTCCTGGTATTCTAAGTTTCCATCTTTTTATCATTTTCTGCCTGTTTATAGAACTTGTTCAGCTGGGTTTCTTGGCAGGGGGGTGGGGAGGAAATGGGTCTGCTGCCCACATATTGTCTTGGTTTTCTTGTCTGAGAATGTCTTGATTTTCCCTTAATTTTTCTAGGATATTTTCTCTGGATATAGGATTCTGGATTGACATTTCTTTTCTTTCAATTCTTGAAAAACTTATGCCACGTTTCTTCTAATCTCTGTGGGTTATGATGAGAAGTCCACTGTTGTTAAAAATTCTTCTTCCCCTATAGGTTATGTGTTGTTTCTCTCTCTGACTTCAAGAGAGAAAAGTGTTTCATTTTCAAAAGTTTAACTGTGATGTGTTTTGACATGGATTGCTTTGGATTTATCTAGTTTAGTGTCTCTTAGTTTTTTGAATCTGCAGGTTTATGTCCTTTAGCAAATATGGTGAGTTTTCATATACGGAAGTCATTGTTTCCCACTGTACTTTTTGTCCTCTCTTTCTCCTTTCTTCTTAGTACTCCAGTGACATGCAGATATCAGCCCCATGTAACCCCACAGGTCTCTGAAAATTCTGTTTCTTTCTTTCTTTTTTTCTATTGAAGTATTAATAGTTGGTTTACAATGCTCTGTTAATTTCTGTTGTACAACAAAGTGATTCAGTTATACATATATATACATTTTTAAAAATTCTTTTTAATTATGGTTTTATCACAGGATATTGAATGTAGTTCCCTGTGCTATGCAATAGGATCCTGTTGTTTATCCATTCTATATATAATGGTTTGCCTCTGCTAATCCAAAACTCCCAATCCATCCCTCCCCCACTCATTCCCCCTTGGCAACCACAAGTCTGTTCTCTGTGTCTGATTCTGTTTCATAAATTGGTTCATTTGTGTCATATTTTATATTCCACATATAAGTGATATCATATGGTATTTGTCTTTCTCTAACATTTCACTTAGCCTGATAATCTCTAGGTTCATCCATGTTGCTACCAATGGCATTATTTCATCTTTTTTTACAACTGAGTAGTATTCTATTGTGTATATGTAACACATCTTGTTTATCCATTCATCTGTTGATAGATATTCAGGTTGTTTCCATGTCTTTGCTATTATGAATAGTTCTGCTATGAACTTAGAGCTGTGTTTATCTTTTGAATTGTAGTTTTGTCTGGATGTTTGCCTAGGAGTGGGATTGCTGGATCATATGGTAGATCTATTTTTAATTTTTTGAAGATCCTCTATACTGTTTTCCATAGTGGCTACATCAGTTTACAGTGTAGGAGGGTTCCTTTTTCTCCACACCACCTCCAACATTTATTATTTTGTAGAGTTTTTTGTTTTGTTTTCCATTTATTTTTATTAGTTGGAGGCTAATTACTTTACAATATTGTAGTGGTTTTTGTCATACATTGACATGAATCAGCCATGGATTTACATGTATGTAGAGTTTTTTTATCATGGCCTTTCTGATGGGTGTGAGGTGATACCTTACTATAGATTTGATTTGAATTTTTCTAGTAATTGGTGATGTTGAGTATCTTTTTATGTGCACATTGCCCATCTGTATGTCTTCTTTGGAGAAATGTCTGTGTAGGTCTTCTGCACATTTTTCAGTTGGTTGGTTGTTTTTGCTGTTCAGTTATATGAGCTGTTTGTATATTTTGGAAATTAAGCCCTTGTTTGTCTCATCATTTGTAAATATTTTATACCATTCTTTAAGTTGTTTATTCATTTTGCTTATGGTTTCCTTTGCTATACAAAAGCTTGTAAGTTTGATTATGTCCTATTTGTTTATCTTCACTTTTACTTTTATTGCCTTGGGAGACTTTTTTTTAAAGTCTGTTTTCTCTCCACAAGCTGCAGGGTGCAGCCAAAAATAAGAAGAATAGAATTCCTAAAGTTTTTTTTAAAAAGTTCTTTCTAGCTCTTCTAAAACTCTTTTACTTCTCACCTCATGTTTATATATATTTTTTATATCCTTAAGCTTGTATGTAATAGTTCTTATAAAGTCCTTGCCTGGTAGCTCAGTCATCCCTGTGACTTTTTAATCTGTTTCTCCTGACTAGGCTAATTTTTAGCCTAGTTTTGGTTATCACCTTACAGGTTCTTTATATGTCTACTAGTTTTTATTGGTTAGTAGACATTGTGAAGTTTTATATTCTATGCTAGATTTTGTTATCTAATTTTAAATAGTGTGGACTTTGTTCTGGTAAACAGTTACTTATAGATTAGTGTGATCCTTACAACAAGGATCAGCAAACACTTTCTTAAAGGACCAGATAGTAAATATTTTAGGATCATGGGTTATACGGTCTCTGTTGTAACTGTTAACTACACTTTGTAGCTGGAAAGCAGCCATAGACAATAAACATAAACATATGAATGTTGCCATATTCTAACAAAACTTTGTTTACAAAAGCATTTTAATTTTCCTTGCGTGGCAGCTTGCTGCCTGCTTTGGTGGCTTTTTTGTTGAGTTTTGTTAGAATGGATTTAGAGTCATTTTATTCTAGAACTAGTTTATTCCTTTTAGAGTGTCCCTTGATTGCCCTGAATGTTTGGCAAGGATTCTCTGCTCTAATTGGTTGAAACTCAAACGTGTCCTAGTGCTGTATAAGCTTTGGAAACTCTTCAGTTTATTCCATGCTTGCTTTGTTCAGTCTTATGGAGCTTTACTTGGTGCACGCACAGCTCGATATTCAGGCAGAGGTTCGACAGACCTGAGTTATAGAGGTCTTCTGGAGCACCTCCCTCCTCTAAGGTACTTTGCCCCTCAGATTCCAGTTTTTGTCCCCTCGACTCAGCAAGGTAACGTTGATATTCTCTAGATCCTCCTCCTTACTCTGTAATCCAAAAAATCCACAACCCTCCGCGCCCGCCCCCAAAAAAGCCAGAGTGCCAATAGAGCTCATCACTTTTATTTTCCTTCTCTCAGGAATTAGGCCTGTACTGCCTGTTGTTCAATATTTGAAAATCATTCTTATGTATCTTACCCAAGTTATAGAGGTGCTTATAGCAGGAGGGTAAGCCCTGCCTGTTTTTGTCAACATGGTCGGAAGCTCCTATTATGGTTTTAAAATAAGTATATTGATTTCATTCCAAACAAGATTTTCTGGGGGTGGTGCTTGGGCCCCTCGTCCCTCATTTTAATGTTCCTTGGGATTTTGACACACAGTCAAAGTTTCTCTCTTCATATCCTAGGCAAAGTAATGCAGATTGACAGAGAGTAGGGTGACTCTGATTTCTTTCTCCCTTTTCCTCGGAACTCTCCTTCCCTTACCCCCACCTGTCATTCACTCTGAACCCCCACCCCAGAGTTCTTTGTTAGGTAAAGCGTGTTAAGGTAATATTTTTTATTTATATTGTATGTAGGCATTCATAGGTATTTGAAGAAACCTTCCAGAGGTGATTTATCCAAATAGAATAAACAGGAAAGGATGAATGAATCCCTCAACATCTGAATTTACAATGCTAATGGACCACCACAATAATAAAATTTATTTTGGAGTCTTATTTTGACAAAAATCACTTCAATTGCTCATTTAATTTTGTGTATCATTACTAGTTTTAATATGTCTTTTAACTAACTACTTGGTAGAATTGACGTTCCAGCAAAACATACCATCTCTATCCTGTGACTTCATATAGTTCTTGATATGCCCCTAGATTTTAACTTCCCTACTTGCTGAAGCACAATAGAAGCAGGCTCAGTTTCTAAATTTTAAGATACACTGTAGATGAGAGAGGACTTACTTTCCAGATACTTGATACATGTTTACTTGACTGTTTCTTTGAGGGGAAAGTGTATTTGAAATTCTAGTCAACCATCTAGTAGCCAGCACTTTTTTCAACTCTAGAATGTGGCTTAGGTTGGTTGCCGTGCTGAAACAGAATGCTGCAGTGTCTTTTCTGTTATTGTGGATTCCCAGCTGACCTAGTTAAAAATTAAAACACTGTTATCAAGGATAGTTACAGTCCTCTGAGTAAGGACTTGGTTACTTAAGAGCAGCTAGTGATCTTTATGTAAATGTATATATTACCCCAGAAATATTCTTTACTCCTTGCATTTCTATAGAGTGAATTTTCAGGAATACAGATGTACTGGTGCCCAGTCATAAAGCAGCAGTTTCACTTGCACTTGGTTTCTACTGAAAACGTTGATTTTTCTTTGCCATTCTGCAGTACCTTCTCCAGGTAAATTCCGCTCCCCTGCAGCACCATCTCCTTTGGCTCTCCGGCAACCAGTAAAAGCATTTAGTAACCATGGCTCTGGTTCTCCTGGTAGCCAAGAAACAACACAACTCATGCAAACCACTTCCTCACCTGGGCCTCCCATGGTTCAGAACACAGTCCCAGCAAATCCTCCCAGCAATATCAACAGCACTACTCTAACCAGACCTGCAGGGACAACTGTGATGAGAAGTGGCTTGCCCAGACCCAGTGCCCCTTCTGCTGGGGGTATACCAGTGCCTCGCAGCAAACTTGCACAGCCTGTTCGCAGGTAAGTGGCAAATACTCTGTTTTGACCTTCTTGAGTATAGGAAAATGGGTAGACGGGAATTACCTTCAGTTCTGCATTTGATAGTGAAGATCAGGAGTCCTAGTGGGTTCCCACTAGAATCATTACAATTTGAATAAAATATTACTTTCAGGAAATTCTCACTTGGGACATTGGGGTATTATATCACTTTGGTTCAGATTAAATTTTCCCAGGTGCCTGGTATGATTAAGCATCTTGATGAATTCCTAGGAAAGATTGTTAGAACCACTGCATCTGGTTGTGTTATTTGTTCATTTTGAATATAATGATATTCAGTAAAGATATTAAAAGCATAGTAGAACCTACAATGAGATTTAAGATAAAACTTGTAGCTGTCAGGTCTGAGTGTATAATCCAGGAGGTTGGTTTTCAAATCTCACTACAGTTCAGAATCTTCTGTGGAATTTATCTAAATATAGAGGCCTAAGTTTTGCCCACAAAGAGTAGATCTGGTGTGAAGCCCCAAATCTGTAGGTATGCTGTTTTCAAATTTGTTTAATCTTCAGATGATTCTGAGCCTACCCAGATTGGGAGTCATATATATGTATAGGCATATCTGTACCTTTCAAGAATGTGCTTACCACCATCAGTGGGTGTTGAATATATTAAACTTGAAATATTTATTTGCATGAAAAAGGTGCTTTTGTGCCACAAGCATTGAAACCGAATTAACCATACTTCTTTTATTCTAAGATAATATATTACATTTTTGAGTTCAATAGAGTACAACAGTTTTTCAATCCCTGGGTCAGGATGATCCCTTGGAGTAAAAAATGGCAACCCACTCCAGTATTCTTGCCTGGAGAATCTCATGGACAGAGGAACCTGGCGGGCTTCAGTCCATGGGGTCGCAGAGTTGGACGCGGCTAAAGTGACTTAGCACGCACATGCACACCTTACTTAATTTTTACTATAGCATTAGACATGTAGGTACTGTTATTATGCCTATTTTTCAGAGGAGAATATTAAAATTTAATGAAGTTAAGTAATTTGCCTGAGATTTCAACTAGTAAGACCTACAGTTCCAAGTATGTCTGACTTCAGAGTCCTTTTAAGCACTATCCCATTTTGCCTCTCTAATGATGGTGGCACTACGCCACTAATAACACATTCATCAGTTTACCCCTCAAATAAGTAATAAGTTTGGTGATCCATTTGGTTGGAAAAGACCAGACAATCTTTTCTCTTACTGCAGTGGCTGTATTAACAAAAAAGAGGTTAGTGCAGTCACCTGATGCCTAGTAAAACTTAAAAGTTGTGGACATGCCTGATGTAGAATGGTTGTGCTAATAGCTGTTCAGAGGTTTGATCTCAACAGTCCCCTGGAACATTGGATTGTGTTACAACCTACAAAGTAATTGATATGTGTGGAAGGTAGCATGGTAATGTTCCATAAAACCTTGCAAATCTTCTGTAAAATTGCTTTATTTCAGATCCTTGCCAGCTCCTAAGACCTATGGCAGCATGAAAGATGACAGTTGGAAAGATGGCTGTTACTGACCAGCAAAGAAAGGAATGCAGAGGTCCACAGCTTCATGGATGCCCCTTCACCAGGCTAAAAGACAACTTTTATATGCAGACTGTTCAGATAAGACTCGGGATTTATAAAATCCCAGCCCTCTCTGTCTTAATTAGCACAAATTGACAGAGATGATCAAACAGCACTTTAATGACATTTAACATCAGATGTGTTTGGTAATCATACAATCACTCTCCATGGAATCACTTTTAGTTTTATTTAATAGCAACTGAATTGATTTTTTAATATTTGACAGAGGCCAATATCTGGGCAAAAAACTAATGGATGCCAAAGAGAAATGCCCATCTGTAAATGAGAGCATACCTTTGTGCACAAGGTGAATTCTAGCTATCCAAAACTTCACGTTCAACCTAAGTTACTGTATACATAGTATCAATAAATATTTGTGTTAATGAGAACTAATATTCTGACTAATTATCTAAAACGTTTCACTAGTACTCCAGGAAACTAGATTGAGATGGAAGGGGACAGGGTGGGAAGAAACCTGGGCTAGAGATTTAAAACACGATACCTAAATTTGGGAGAATCTTATAAATTATTTTTTGCAGATTCATTAGAAAAATTGTCATTTTGCTTAATCTTAAGTTTTGGATGTAGCTCACATATCACCACCACCAGATAGTGTTACACCATGCATCCATCATGTTGCATTGACACATCAGACTTTTGTGTGTTTGTTTTGATTGCCAAAAGGGCTTAATATCAGTTGTACAATCTTTCTAAACTTTATAGCTCCTGGCTCAGGAAAGATAGCCTTTGCTATTGAAGCCAACTTCTTCACATGCTGTTATCTGTTATAGGACTAAGAGATCTTGTTTTTATTAGCAGGTTTCCATGATGGGAAAGAGCAAGTAGTATGTGTCTTTATTCTTGATATAAATAACACCACTTCAGTGCTTATAACCTGGAACAAAACCATACAGTAAGGGGGAGGGGCTGTAATCTATGCACTTAACGTACAAAAACTCTGATAATGACAGTTGTATTGTTACTATTAATTGACCTAGCAGCCTATTATGTGGTGGGATATTATAGCCTGCTGAGTCCTATTTAAGTTGATCCACTTTAAACTGAGCAACTGTTTCAAAACACCCTTTGAAAATATGTCCCTTTTAGATTCTGTCTGACGTCAGTTTTTGCATTTGGGGGTACAGATGAAACCTACTACATATGACTCTAACCTGTTAAACACTTGCTCTGTGATGGCCCTTATGTATATCCTAGAAATAACTAATTTGGATTTTATTTGACTATTACCAAACTAAAGCTTCCATCTTCTGCAGACATCTCATTTTTTCATGGTGAGGTCTGTTTTTAAATATTTAATTTGTACAACTCTAAAATATTGGCAGTCAGGTCACTAAAGGATTTTAGATATTTGAACATACCTTCATCTTCTGTTAGTCAAAGACTTTCTGTAAGTTGGCAAAAGAAATTGAGAGAGAAATGGGAAGCTTATATTCAGGATAGCACTGAGGTTTATAGGTTGAGAGAATGATGAAACTTTTACTATGATCAAGACCGCTGTTCTGCCGTGATGGACACCATGGTGGTCTTTATTAGCTTGACCAGTAAGGAGTCGTTCAGTTAGCACAGCTGCTGGAAGCGTAAACTGCCACTGCTAGTGTATTTTGGTGTATGATGCAAGGAAGAAGTTTTATTCTTGGATTTGAGGGTGATGGGGGTGGGTCAGGAAAGGATGGCGCCAGAATTCCACATATAATGATGAACTTAAAAATGTTGCTTTACAGAGGAAGATAACGCATCTGTTTCGGGTAGAGGGGTATCTCTTGTAAAAATCTAAGTAAGTCAAAGAACTAGCCACTGTCTTTTTTAAACCATGTATACACAAGAGGAAAAATAGGTCTCAGTTTTCAGTGCAACATTGCAAAAAAAAAAATGCTGCAATCTAGTAATTAAAAGGAATTTTAACTCTTACAAAATACCCATTATATTTTTAAGTTAGATTATCAGTTTCAAAAGGAATATTCAGGTTATTTAACTTTGTGTTTTTAATGGCTGCATCAGAAAAAAAAATGTCTATTTTTCTTTAATTAAAATTTTCATCACTTGTTAAGAGCATAATGGATCTGAGTTAGGTAAAGTATAATTTTACCTGCTGTTATACTACCACAGACTATTGGCTTTTAGTTTCCTAAAGAGAAAAATTGCCTTTTTACTAGAAAGCCTTTGTGTATTGCCAATTTTTCTGTTTGGGAAAAATCTAAGGATTCGCTGTGGTTACTCTTACAGATGAAATGTGGATTTGATAAACTAGTGCCTATGATTTTAACTTATGTTTGATATATAGTAGTAAGGGTTTTATGAATGTTGATTATTTTTTTGTGCCAACAGCCCAGAATTGTCACTTATATGTGAGCAGAAAGCTATGAGCTCTGCTTCCAAAGTTATTTAATTTTTCAGTGTTTGAATGTTATTTTTTTTGTAAGTGTGTTAATAAAAGTGTAAATTGGAAAAATATAAATATTCTTAACTCAAGCATTTGCTGGATCATTTTTCTACAAAACTTGTTTGTATAATATAAAACACTCTCTGAAGGGTTGGCTTTTTTTGGTTTTCATACACTGAAAATCACATTTTGTAATACTGGGGACCATTCATAATTGTCAGATACTTTTTAAAATTATTATCTCAATACATCACTTTTATAAAAACGTTTTTCTGAAGGAAATAAGATACATATGTGTCCCCAGATGTTTGTATAACTTTAGAATGATCTAGACTATGTATATTTAACTTTTTATTGAATGTACAGGCGTCCATTTTTGACTACACATGGTCCTTTTAGATCACATGAAGTTTGATTTGCAAACATTTCTATAGCCGAACTTGTATGTGTGGTTGCCTCCTTAATAAACAACCTGACCATAATGTTTATTATTAAATTTATATTTGTTATTTCAAGTGTTTTATTAATTTATGGGTACGGTAAGATCTACCCTCCTTTTCGCCAGTTGCTGACAATTGGTAATAATAAATATCTCAGTTGATTTTTTTTTTTAAACGCAACCCAAGCCACATTGTCCTTTCAGACTTGATCTCTGTGAAGTTGGAATATATCATGCTGTATTCTCTCTGTCCTAATTACTCCGTATATGGATTTTGATGGGTGGAATTTGTAGTTTATTCCAAACTTGTATGTTCCTGTAATTTTTTAACTTGCTGTGCATTGTTATCTAGTTAAAAAAAGATAGCATACATAAACTTGCAAAAGCACCATTATGTAAGAGGATCCAGGGACTTCCCCTGGTGGTCCGGTGGTTAAGAATTCCCTTTGCAATGCAGAGGATAGGGGTTATTATATCCCTGGTCGGAGAGCTGGGATCCCACATTCTGTGAAGCCTGAGTGCCACAATGGAAGATCCCACATGCCAGAACACTGACCCAGTGCAGTCAAATAAATAAATCATTTTTAAAAAACAACCTCAAAAAAATATCCAGAAGAGGAAATTAATACTTTTCAAAACCAAATATGTGTATTTATTTAGTTGATCATGTGCATCTTTCTCTTATGGGTGAATGGAAAAAAATTCAAGAATTGTATACTCTTTTATTAGTTCCCTGCATCCCTTTTGGAAGTTTTCACAGTTCTCTGTATTAAAATTGGTCCCACTAATGAGTCATAGAGACACGATACCTTCATGCTTGAGTTTTCTCCCAAGTCAATGTAAAAGTTTTTAAGAATCTTTTTTAAAGAATCATTTAAAATTGAATGTCATTACACTTGTAAATTCATGAGTGAAAAGTTTACTTAAGCTTTTTATATACCCAGTGCAACAGAAAAAAATATATGGTGGTTCTTGTGAATTATTTGCTATATCCAAGTTTAGCTTTGAGCTACAAAAGCGAAACAAATGATAGTGAAACTAACTTGGAGGGAAAAAGTGTGTTCATATGAGCATGAAGCCAAAGTCAGCAACCACTAACATATTTTTAATAATCCCCTAAGTCTGAGCAGAATAAATGGCCTCTGTTTACTGGTAAAAAAATGGGACAAATTTTCCTCATGGACCTCACTTAATACAGCTCAGTTAAAAATGTTAACTGTATTCTAATTTCAAACCAGTTCTTTACACTGGGTAACTTCAGTGTTTTCTTTTTAGATAGAGGGGAAGAAAATTCTAATGATTTTGAAAATAATAGGCTCATTACTTTTTTACTTAACTGAAAATATTAAGAAACATAAAAGGGAAAATGATCCCATATATCACCTCTGGATCCTGCAATCCCTCCTCCCAGAAATAAAGATTTAAGTGCTGACCTTAACATGGTTATAAAATAACCACATTTCAAAGGTTCACTGTATGCCACCTCACTTTTTTGAAAGACCTATTTGTACCTCTTTTTACTAACCAAAAGAAGTTCAAAGAGGATTTTTGCTTTTACAGAAAAAGTTTAAAGCAAAAATAGTGTTCAGTGTTTATTTTGCAGGGAACAGTGAGCCCAACGCCGTGAAGCCCCTTCACCAGGAACTACTTAGCATCTCAAGCCACCATAGCTTGGAACCATGTGAGCATCTGTGCTTTACTTCATTTGTGTCTCTGTTAGCAAGATGTGTCCTCAGATAATTGCTTCTTCACTTTATGCCATTTCAGCTCAGGAAAGTTTCATAGAAATGCTCTCACCTTCAGTAGTGGGGGAAACCTGTATTAAGTGGAAGGGTAAGAAGTCTTCTGTTTAAGATGAAGAAATACTTTTCACTTATACAATACTGACATGAGTTTCCTCTTGAAACAGAGGTGTACGTTAACTGCTTATTGAAAGCTTGACACATTTCTCGATTCCTGATTATAGATATTCCTTTATTAAAAATAAATACACTGTATCTTTACAACATCAGCTGTCTTTTGTTATGAAAGATTATGTTTATTAGAGAAAAATAGAGGAATAGAGTAAATTTATAAAGAATAAAAAGCACTTATTCCATAGGTAATCACCC